GGCGGGGCCGGCCGGGGATGCCGCGGCGCGGCCCGCGCCATGTGGTACATCATGCAGAGCATTCAGAGCAAGTACTCGCTGTCCGAGCGCCTTATCCGCACCATCGCCGCCATCCGCTCCTTCCCTCGGGACAACGTGGAGGATCTCATCGGCCGGGTGAGGCATCCCACCCTTTCCGCGGCCGGGCCAGCCTGCTCGAGTCCCCCCGGGGCTCCGGGTGCCTCTGACGGGCACTGCCGAGCTGTCCCCGGCTGTCCCGCTCTCTGCGGAGCCTCCCTGGGGACTCCCTGGAGGAGTTTTCCCGAGAAGGGAAGATCAAGGCATCTCCGGTTGGTTTAGAGACTCCAGGCTTTTCTTTCCACCCTCTGGACCCCCGGGGCCGGGGGCGTCTCCGGGCACCGTTTGGTGACAGTCGATTGGTGAAACACAGGCGGGAGCCGGGATTAAGACCAGGAGCGTTCTTGGGATTTCTCTTAATTAAGCCTTTCTTGAAGGGATGGGAAGGACAGGGAAAGGGTGGGATTTGCTGACCTCGAGGCGGTTCCTGCAAAGCCCCGGGATTTGTGTGAATTACCCCTTTCTGAAGGGATGGAAAAGGGGTAGTTCCTGACCAGGGGCGTTGCTGTGTTCCCCAGGGCGCCGATGTGAACTGCCTGCACGGCACCCTCAAACCCCTGCACTGTGCCTGCATGGTGGCTGATGCCGACTGCGTGGAGCTGCTGCTGCAAAAAGGAGCTGAGGTAAAGCTTTGGAAAAAACAAAAACAGGAGGAAAATTCCAAGACAAGGGGCAGGGAAGTCAGGAGGAGCTGATAAACAGCTGAGATGGGTTAGATCTGATGTGTTTCAGTTGGATTTTGGAAAAAAGTTCTTCCCCCAGAGTGTCATGGGGCACAAGCTCTGGGGACTGGGGTTTGGACAGCACTCCCAGCGTAGGGGGGGATTTTTGAGCGTCCTGTGAAGGGCCAGGCCTTGGATTTTATGATCTTTGTAGGTCTTTTCCAGCTGAGGATATTCCATGGGCTTGTATCCCCTCACAAAGTGGCACGAGGGGAAGGTTCATTGTCCCAACAGGGAGGGAATTCTTGGGCTGAGATTTTGGGAGCAGAGGAAGGATTGGAACCTAAATTTTTGCACTGAGATTTCAGGAGGCTGGGAAGGAAGACTTAAACCCTAAATTTGCTGGATTTTTTACCCCACTTTCCCCTGGCTACTGGGCTAAACCCTTCCTCATTTTTCCCTACATTTGGGATTTGGGACCTTTGACTCTTCCCTTGCTGCGGAATCCAGCTGGGGCCACTCCCTGACCCCCAAACGTTTTTTTCCTCCCCCAGGTGAACGCCCTGGACGGCTACAACCGGACAGCCCTTCACTATGCAGCAGAAAAAGATGAAACCTGCGTGGAGATTTTATTGGAGTACGGAGCCAACCCCAACGCCCTGGACGGCAACAAGGACACGCCACTGCACTGGGCGGCCTTCAAGAACAACGCCGAGTGCGTGCGGGCCCTGCTGGCCAACGGTGCCCTGGTCAACGCCCTGGACTACAACAACGACACTCCCCTGAGCTGGGCGGCCATGAAGGGCAACCTGGAGAGCGTCAGCATCCTGCTGGACTTCGGCGCTGAAGTGCGCGTGGTCAACCTGAAGGGCCAGAGCCCCATCTCGCGCCTGGTGGCGCTGCTGGTGCGGGGCCTGGGCACGGAGCGCGAGGATTCCTGCCTGGATTTGCTGCACAGAGCCACGGGACACTTTGAGCTGCGCAAGAACGGGAGCCTGCCCTGGGAGGTGGCCCGGGACCCGCAGCTGTGCCAGCGGCTGACGCTGCTGTGTTCGGCGCCAGGCACACTGCAGGCGCTGTCGCGCTACGCCGTGCGCCGCTCGCTCGGCCTGCGCTTCCTGCCCCAGGCCGTGCAGCAGCTGCCGCTGCCTGCCTGCCTCAAGGAGTACCTGCTGCTGCTCACCTGAGGGAGGGACAGCTCCCCTTCCCCCGGATCGCCCCTCACTCCGGGGAGAGGATCCCCGCTCACTTTGTGGCTTTCCAGGTTCCTCTCTGTGGTGTTTGTTCCCCTCGGCCACCCGGGACCCTGCTGGCCCCTCACGCTGCCTCCCTTTCCTCCCCTTGTCCCTTCCATTTTGTTGCCTCTGTTTCTCCCCCTATCCTCTCACACTCCCTCCAGTTCCTCCTCTGTGTTCCTTCTGCTTGTCTCCCTGTCTCCCACTTTCACTCCCTTGCAATGAACAATATCCCTCTGATGGCAAATTATATCCCAGCTGTTGGATTAATCTGGTTTTCCCCTTTTTTTGTTTTTTTTTTTTGCCTTGCAAAAGGAAGGTTTTAAAGGAAAGGTCTCCTTTGAGGAAGGACCCAAGGCAAGAAATTGTGGGTTGGGATGCAGAGTAATCCTATGGGATGTGTTGGCTGCAAATCAAAGATCCAGGTGTTTATCCAGCATGGAGAGTGAAGTTCTCCCCGTTTATCCCTAATTTTTGTGCTGCATCAAGAGTGAAACTAGCTCAAAAACCAAAATTTTGCAGGGCTGGAATTCTTTTGGGCGAAAGAAATCTTCTCCAGAATGCTCCACATGGAGCTGAGGGCTTCCCTCCCATCTCTTCAAGCTCTTCCTGAGGTTTCCCACCAGGAGTTCACCCTTTGGTGTTGGTTTGGGGGTTTTTTCTGGGATCTATTCCAGGATCCAATAGAAGAGCAGCTCTCCAAGGTGAAACCAAGCTGCTAAAAGCCGTCATTGTTATTTTCTGGAATGAACTTGGGGATGAAAGCTCAAATTCTACCTCTTTTATCCCTCTCTGTTATGCTGGGCAGGGAAATCCTGAGGAGCAGGATGGATTTGGTGTTAGTGGGATCCAGGTTTCTCTTTCCATGGATTCACAGAGACCTGGAGCACTTGGACAGGCACTGAATTTATTGAAACATCTCCATTTTGTGACTTTTAACCCTAAAAACCTCAACCTCCACCATCCCTCCTCAACTTATCCTCACATCACTTGGGGACCACTTCTCAAAATCCTATCAAACCCCCGAAAAGCCCCAGGACGCTGTGGGAAAAGGGGATTTTGGGGTTCCTCAGGCTGCAGTGGCCACTGTCCCTGTCACAGGGTGGCCTCGGGGACCAGGACCTTGCGGGTCAGGTGCTCCAGGTGCGCCGTCTCTGACGTGTCCAGCTCGATGTTGTACTTGGCCAGGATTTTGAGGATGGGCCGCAGCTTCAGCCACCACTGCTCCTTGGGGATGCGGTGCCTGAGGGGACAGGGACAGGCTGGGGACATCCCTGAGGAGGGATCCCAGGCTTTGTCCCACTTTGCTGGGGTGGGACACAGAGGGACACGCACTCGAAATCCGTCTGCTGGCGCAGCTCGGCGATGGGCTGGAACACCAGGCTGCGCTTGCGCATCCCCAGCAGGCACGCCGAGTCAGCCGTGTTGGCAAAGATCCGGCCTGCGAGGAACACAGGAACGTTTGGGAACCTCCTGGAGGCAAGTTGGGAACATCGGGGGTCCTCCAGGGACATGGGAGGGAAGGGTGGGAAGGTTTGGGTATCTCCAGGGATGGGAGAACACCTGGGAGGGGAAGTTGGGAATGTTTGGGATCCTCCTGGAGCAGGGGTTGGGAATGTTTGGGATGCTCCAGGAGGGGAAAACCCGTTGGGGGGTAGGTTGGGAATATTTGGGACCTTCCAGAAACATGGGAGGGGAGGTTAGGAATGTTTGAGATCATCCAGGATTGGGGAACATCCCCCAGAATCTACAACAGGGCCTTTTGGGAATGGTTTGGGAATGTAGGGTCACTCTGGGGTCCCTTTGGGATCCCCCATCCAGCAGCACCCACCATGCCGGGAGCACTCCTTGATCTTCCCGGTGATCCAGGCCATGGCCTTGGCGCCCATCTTGGTGCCGAAATTACGGTCAAAGGGGGTGGGGCTGCCTCCCTGCCCCAGGAGAATCCAGGATGAGCCAGTGAAATCCCCCAAAATCCTGATCCCATTCCTGGGAAATCCCCTGAACACGGATCCTGTTCCTGGGGGAATTCCCAAACCCTCACCCCATTCCCACCTGCTGCATGTGCCCCAGGACATTTTTCCGGCAGTCAAAAATCCCTTTGCCCTCCTCAGAGTAGAGGTTGTAGATGAAATCTGTGGTGTAGTTCTCATTGCAGCGCTCATTCCTGCAGCAGGGACAGGATCTGGCCCAAATCCCACAATTCACCCCATCCCAAACAATTCCACTGATCCCAAACAGCAGCACCACGATGAGACCCTAAATCTTCCATCCCTAACCCATCACCACAGTGAGAGCCCAGTTCCCCTGATCCCAAACCCAATCCCCACAGGGGTGCCACAAGGTGCCCCCAAAGCCAGGGCCCACCTGAGCACAAGCCCCCTCTTCACCATGGTCTTCATCTTCTCCGTCAGGTGGTCCACGTTGGCCTGCGGGGTCAGGAATGGGGGTGGGAGTGGAGTCAGGAATGGAAACCTACTCGTTCCACACCACCCTGGTGACACAGGGGACAGGGAACAGGACTGTCCCCACCTGCAGGTCACGGCTGCTGAAGGGCTCCTCGAAGATGTAGGCAGCATCGGCACCGGCTGCCAACCCAGCCATGGTGGCCAGGTAGCCACAGAAGCCACCCATGGTCTCGATGATGAACACACGGCGCTTGGTGCCTGCGGCTGACTGCTTGATCAGGTCACATGTCTGCAGTGGGGGATTTGGGGTCAGGAAAAGGGATTTAGGGTCAGGGGATTTGGGGGTGCCCACTGCAGACCGCTTGATCAGGTCACATGTCTGCAGTGGGGGATTTGGGGTCAGGAAAAGGGATCCTAAGGTCAGGGGAGTTGAGGGATTTCCATCAGGGTCTCAAGAGTGGTGGTAGTGGTGGGAGAAGTGCTTTGGGATCAGGGGAATTTTGTGACTTCCACTGAGATCTCACTATGGTGATGGTGTTTGGCATCAGGAGGGATATGGGATACAGGATTTGGGTTCTCATGTGGTGATGGTGTTTGGGATCAGAGGCTGTAGGATGGGTGTTGGGGATTTGGAGTCTGACCGGGATGTTTGGGACAAAGGGGATTTTGGGGAGTATCTGGGGTCTCACGGTGGTGATGGTGTTGAGGGCGGTGTCGGCGCCGATGCTGAAGTCGGAGCCGGGAACATTGTTGGAGACGGTGGCAGGCACAATGCACAAGGGGATGCAGAGCTCCTCAAAGCGTGCCCGGCCCTCCACCAGCTCCAGGCCGCCTGTGAACGCCTGAGGGACAGTGGGGACATCAGGGGACAATGCAGAGAGGAGAGGAACAGTGTGGACACTGACCACACCCTGACCAGACCTGGCCCTCCACCAGCTCCAGGCTGCCTGTGAATGCCTGGGGGATAGCAGGGGGACACTGACCCCACCCTGGCCATGCCCTGACCACGCCCCAACCATGCTCTGTGGACACTGACCACACCCCACTGACCTCAAAGCCACCGATGATGATAAGACCATGAATCCCAAATTTGCTGATGTTGGCACTGATCTCCTCAAAATATTTCTTGGGCAGAGTCCTGGGAAGGGGAAGCTCCTCTGGATGAGCCTGACCAGAGGGGGACCCCAGAGGGACCCCAAATGACCCCACACAGAGCGGGGAGTGACCTCTTGGTGCCCAGTTTGGATCCTCCCAGCCCCGTCCAGCTGCCCACGGTATTCCAGCCGATCTGTTCCACCTGGGGGGTGAAACGGGTTGAATGGGGTGGGAGAAGGATCTGGGGTCACACTGGCTCCCCTCAGCCCTATCAGAGTGACATTGGGGTCACACGATGTCCCCTCAGCCCTCTCAGGAGGTCACACTATGTCCCCTGGCTTGGGGACAGCAGCAGGGCTGGGGTTTGGACAGGGGTTACCTCCATCCTGAGAAATTCCTCAGGAATCTCCATCCCTGCAGTGCCACAGGCCCTTTTCTTGCACCCTTTTCCCACAGGGATCTCCCCATCCCAAAATCCAACCCCTCAAATCCATACTGCATTTCCCAAACTTTTCCCAGCCTATTTTTTCCTCTGGGATCTCCCCATTCCAAAACCCAACCCTTCAATTCCATCTCCAATCCCTCAAACCCATCCTGCACTTCTCACTCCCTTTTCCCTATAGGAATCTCACCATCTCAAAATGCAGCCCTTCAAATCTGTCATGCCGTGGCCACCCCATCCCAATTCCGTTTCCCCTTCACTATACCAAATGCCAGCCCCTGAAATCCATCCCAAACCCCATTTCCTGTAGGAATCTTCTCATCCCAAACCCTTTCATGACCCTTTTCCCACCCCACTCCCCTCTGGACCCTCACCACCCAAATGCCAGCCCTCAAATCCATCCCAAACTCCATTCCCTGTGAAAACCTCACCATCCCAGACCCTTTCCTGACCCTTTTCCCACCCCACTCCCCTCTGGACCCTCACCACCCAAATGCCAGCCCTCAAATCCATCCCAAACTCCATTCCCTGTGAAAACCTCACCATCCCAGACCCTTTCCTGACCCTTTTCCCACCCCACTCCCCTCTGGACCCTCACCATGCCAAAGGCCAGCCCCTCGAAGCCGTCGTGCACCGCGAGCATGCGGTGGCCGTGGATGAGGCCGATCCTCACGGTCGCCCGCACGGCCGCGTTCATCCCCGCAGCTGGAGCGCCCACGTTCAGCACGGCCACCGTGTACCCGCTCTGGGGACAGGGACATGGGGGTTGGGGTAACCTAGGACGGAATTGGGGTGTCCCAGGTCAGGCCCCTCCCCGTGCCCTCCTCAGTGCCTCCTACCTTGGTGGCAGGCGGGCGGATGTGAGCCAGCAGCTTGTAGACGTTCCAGTTGTTCTGAAAGCTCCTAAAAATGGAGGAAGCTGGGGTTTTGAGACGTTTGGAGGACATTGAGGTTGCAGGGACAAGGACATGGAGGTGCCACCCACCGGCCCCGCAGCTTCACCGCGTCCTCGAAGCGTCCCTCGTTCATGGCTGTGGTGACGTCCTTGGTCTGGGGGCACAGAAGGGAATTGGGGTGGGATCTGTCCCTGGGATGGGATTGAGGAGGGATTGGGGTGTCCTGGGGTGGGATCAGGGTGCCGTGGGTAGGATTGGAGTGTTTTGGATGGGATTGGGGTGGAATGGGGTGTCCTGGGGTGGGATCCATCCCTGAGGCAGGCTTGGGGACACTCCCTGGAGGGTTTGGGGACATCTCAGGTGTGGGAACCATCCCTGGCCTGGGTGGACTGCGTCTGGGGCCATTGCCAGTGTCCCCCCATCCCCACT